TGAGAATACGGCACTTCTTTCAAATAGCATCTGAACTGGAAAGGAGAAGTCAAAATAGATTTGTTTGTTGAAAATAGAATGCTGGCAAACTGGCACTATACTGTAAAATAAATTATTAACTTAATAGGAGAGGCATATAATGTAATTAAAGGTATATTATGTAACTTTTCTGGTGGAGGGTCCATCAAATGCATTTCTCCATGAGGATTTTATATCTTTCTGGAATCAAATTAAATCAAGTTACAGGTCAGATCTTTGCAGAGGCGACCCCACTCACAGTCAGAATACCTGTTTTTCTGGGTAATTTTGAGCTGTAAAACTACCAGTAATTGAATAAATGTAAGAGCGACCTGTTTAACGTCATACTGTGGAACATTCCAGGCAGAGCAATGACATATCCATAGAAACAAGCAGGTGACTGACCCCCAACCAAGAAGTTACACAGTGCACCTTTAAGTAAAATTTGTTAGACCTGTAAAAGCAGACAGACCACACCAGGGAGTAATGCTGGTGCGCTGTTAGCATGCTAGCTGTTGTTAGTAGTGATGTGGCATGACTCTGGCCTCTGAACGCTGTGACAAATCTATGACTATGTTAGGAAAGTGAGTAATAAGTTTGGACTGCTGAAAACAATTTAACATGAACTACTAGTAGTTCAGTAAAAATCTGTTTTTTATATTAACCCCACACTCTTATGAATTGGGTTTTAATTCTATTAGAAAAACAACAAAGTATCCTGACATCTCCTAAAAAATATATCTGAACATCAAAGGTGCATTGTGTGACTTTTCAGGTGGAGGATCAGACACCTTATTTTGTCCATGGAGTTGTGTTTGCTTTGTCTGGAAAGGTTCATAGTATGGCATTAAACCTTGTATCATCATGAAGATCAAACCAGGCCAAGCTACAGGTCAGATCTGTGGAGAAGAAACCCCACTCACCGTCAATACGCCTGTTTTTGAGCAATAAAACCACTTGTAAGTGAATAAAATTTTAATGCCATACTGTGGAACATTTTAAAAAGGGCAATGACATTTCCATAGTGACAAGAAGGTGACAGACAACGAAGCGAAAAGTTATGAAGTGCACCTTTTAGCCACTACATCACCATTTACCAGCTAAATGTCTAGACATGTTTATTCACTCGATGTGGCTATATGAGTAAGTTAATCTCTTTCTTTTATTGAAGAATTACAAGCTGCCATTGCAATCTGACACTGACTAATGCTCTGTCAGAACAACAGCTGTCATAATTGTTAGCGACATATGCCTAAGTACCAGTCTCACCACCTGTATTGACGCAAATACTTGTAATTCAGCTTCTTATTTCGAAGTTTGAGATAAAGATTGTCCAGAATCCAGTGAAACCGACGGCTGATAATCTCTGCCAACATTTTTGGGCCAATATGTAGAGCTGATTTTGATTATTACTAAAATTTACTACAAAGTTACCCACAACTCTTTTTACCACAAGTCTTCAAAAAATATGTGCAATCTGACTTTGTGCAGTTATATCTTCATATTAAAATAAAGCTTTGTGTGTATTTTGTAGGCAACACTTAGGTGATCAAAACAAAATATCGGCTTGTGCTGGAGATTTAACGCAGATAGCCAATACACTAAAAAGTCAAAATATCGGCCAAATATTGGTCTACCTCTACTCTTAGTAAAACAAAATAAAACTGCACTAATGTGTTGTGAGTTTCCATGACAGCTAAAGCCCCTCACAGAGTAGATCCAGATTGGGCCAGGGCAGCAGAGTCCCCTACAGCCGGGGGGACCCCCTGCCCACCACTCCACTCGTCAGGGCGTCTATTGTTCACCCTGAACCAAAAACAAAGCTAGAACTCCCCCAAGCCGCCCCAACCCACCCCACAGCAGCCTGCCCCACACCCCAAACTCTGCCACCCCCACTGCCCCCTCCCCCGCGCACAGACACATTTCATTACACACAGGCTGGGGTCCCTAAACTTCAACAGCTGAGGAGCAATGGGTGGTTACTGGTAGTAATCTGATTATATGTTTTCTGTTATTGCAGTGGAGTCATAAAAGTGAAGCTGTAATGATTTGGGTTGCACACTTATTCTGTCATAATCTGGCATAAAGTTCTGCGACATTACCAATCTTGACTGTATAATATCTTAACCAGTAGCTGCAAAACTTTAAGTCTAAATGACATAGTTGGGGGAGAGTGTATTTTCTTTTTTAGCCGCTAAAAAGTGGAGCAAAATTATGTTGCCATGTAAAATTGAAATCAGAAGAGCTAAACATTGCTTTCTAATGTGAGAGGTTTTATAAATTGGACTTTCCTGAACAGAAATATCAGCAAATAAAGTTTGAACTTGATTTCAATACAAAGGAAATAAAATTAATATATAGAATGTAAATGTTTCTTAAATCTGCCATGTGGTTTTCTGCTAGTGCATATATAAGTCAAGACCATATAAACTATTTGGTGAAGGTAAAATTTGGTTGTGTTTATCAAATGTATATATACCAGTATTAATATTTACAACCATTTCAGCTAAACACATTTTAACACACACTACCTTTTTAAAGCTACAACATCTCATTGTAACCACTACAAGCATCACCTGTTGCTTCACCCAAACAGCCCATTGGCACAGGGACCAAATTCAAACAAAACACCACAAATTGTAAAACCTCATCATAGATTGTGCAAGAGAAAATTACCACTCGCATTTGTTTGTACCTAATCCCCCTTTGGATACAATCTGAGCAGGACTGAGAGCTCTCGTCCAAAAACAGGCCGACCGCAGATGAAAGCGAGGGCAGAAAAAAAGCATATTGTAACAGACTGTCCGTGGCCGGGGACTAAGCACACATGAGCCATATGGTGGTCCTCAGTGGTACCGCCTGTTGCTGCCGTACCACAAAGGCCCTGCGCGCACAAACACAGCAAATGATCGTTAGTCCGTCAGACAACTACACAGCTACACCAGGAAAAAACGGCTGGGATTTGCATTCTGCACCTCCCATTGGCTTCTCCTCCCCACGCACACACGCAGACGCACACATACACACACATATACACGCGCTGGTGAGTGGCTGGGTCCTACAGGTGCAGCAATACTCCAAACAGATGTCAACGGACTGAGGGAAAGAGGGAGGGGGTGAGAGGAGAGAGAGGAGGGGGTATGTCCAAAGCTTTGTGCGCTACGACTAGAGCAAGCTTGACACACTTCAGGTCTTTAGGATGTGGTTGAACTAAATCTGAAGGTTTACAATGGCATTACAAAGAATCAGGTGTATTTACAGTTTTATGCCATGAACACTGCGATATAACCATTAAAATGACAAACGAAAATATGTAAAAATACTTGTAATTGCCGGTTCAATTAAACAGATAGTGTTTTCTCTCAAATCAATGTTGCAGAATAACTTTTTCATGAATAAAACACAATAGATTAGTCATAAATTTTAAGACAAAAGATCAGTATTCAAAATATTTTTAAGAAAATCAGTTCCTAAGTCAACAGTTTCAAATAATTAACAATATTTTTTCTTTAGTACTAAGCATCTTATTTTTTATGACAACAACACAACAAAAAATGCCTCACCGTTCCCAAACAACTCATGAAATACACAAAATATAATATTATTTCATTATTTAAGCACTAGTCTTCAGAATGTAACTCTAATCTGACATCTTTAAACACTTCTTGTCAACGTAATGTCAAATTGATTGCTTTATTTGACATCAGTGACCCCACACACCAAGGCCTGTCGCACTTATCTAATACTACTATCTAATACTGTACTGTTATCTAGCGTAAACATAAATAGTCCACTGGAAACAATTGAAGTGATTAAAGTGTGTCCATAAGTATCTATAGCACGGAGCTTCTTTCATTTGACATCTGGATAACTGTCCGTGTTAACAGTTCAAACATCACCCTATCATTTCCTTAACACTGGAGCTGGCCGCAGAAGCCTCTTTATGAGCTATAACCCTTTCATTAATATTTAAAAGAAGCATACATAGTTATAAATGTCACATTACTCTATGAGCGATGAAAGCATTAGGCTATCAAAATATAAGTTACTGCACCAAAACAATAAACCAAGTGGAAAAGATATAAATATAAATGATTTTGATTTCACATGTAGGATAACATAGATGTAGACTGACTAATAATATAAAATAACAATTATCATTATAAGTGTGTAAGATATCATACAGTGTTTTGTTATTTTAATAGTGAACAACTTTTAATATAAAATCTACATGTTGTGATTTTGAGCCTTATGAGTTCCAGTGCCCATATTGAAATAAGTTACATTTTTTGTAATCTTTTTTAGACAGGTAATTTAAAATTAGATTTTATACTATAGAAACAACATTTAAGCCTTTTACTGGACTTGTAAACTTCATATTCAACTGCACGCACAGATGTCTATTCTGGGGAGTAGTAGACTTTGCAACGACGGTGCTAAACGCAATAAAGGGGCCAGTCTAAAGCTGGGTTGGGGGGACTGGAGCGCGGTGGACCCTGGGTAAACCACACGCAGTGAGCCTCTGGCCTGGTCCTCCCGCTGGGGCCTGCCTGTGTGTAGGAGAGAGGGAGAAATGCAACAAGTCCCATTCACTCCCAGCTTTGTTTGGAGCGGCTTCCCGGCGCCGTCCTCCCCGTTTCCCGCTTCGCTTTTGTCGGTACGAGACCACTAAAGTGCACCGGATTAATATTTTACAAAACGGCGAGGACTGAAATGAGCGATAGAAAGTAGTGTTGCGACCAGAAGCGGGTTTGTTGTCGGGGTAAAAGGGGGATGAAGTGGAGTGATAGCCGCGATGTTCCGGAGCTCCTAGAAAATACCACTAATAAGCTTGTGTTGAGTAGTTACGCGTCCATGTGCGTTTCCTGAGTGGGATTTCTGCGTGAATACGACTGAAGAGCGCGTAATTTCACTTCAAAACAAGCAAAATAAGAGAGGAAAGCTACAGGCTGAAGTAGGGGGCTCCTCCTTTGGGAACTTACCTCGATTCAAAGCACCTCTTCTCGGATGAATCCTCGCACTTTTTTCCAGAGCGGAGGTAACGCCGGGTCAAACTCCGGTAAAGATGCCCTCGCTCGCCTCGGTTCGGCTCCGGTGAAGGGCTGGAGGGGGGTCGCGGAGTACGTAGAATGCGCAGCCGTCTGTCCAAGGATGAGAAATATGCGCGGAATGGGAGCAGGAATGAAATGAACGCAGAGCGGCAGAGTGGAGTTGAAAGCGGGGCGGGGTGAGATTGCGAGAGGCACTGGCGTCACCCTGGATGGAGGAGGCAGCGCAGGGAGGGGCTGGGGGGTGAGATGGGAGGATGGGTTGTGGTGGTGGAAAAAAGGAGAGAAGAAGGGGGAAGGGGCGGACTGTACTCACAGCGTTTTGATAACAAAAGAAAGGAGCGCAGCCTAAACTCCGCTGAGAGCAACAGGAGACGAGCAGCTGGTCCTCTCCAACAAGTTGCGCACAAACACACGCGCGCACGCACACACACATGCGGCCAGGAAGAGTGCGCAACTTTTACAATGGGAACAGAGCACACAGGGGTTAAAAGTAGACAGGCTTTTTTAAAGGGACAGTTCATAGTTTTTTGTTTTGTATGTTGTTAAGTGGTAAAAAGCTACAGTTCAGAAAGGGGACAGCTATAAAGCAATACATGTTTGCTGTTATATCAGTTAAATTAGGTTATGTCTACAAAGTATTATTGCATTTTTGGGGCATTTTTATGACTCATTATGGTGGAGTTTTTATGAATGGATGATCACATAATGAAAACAACATTGTACTAACTACACTTAACCAAAAATCCGGTGTCTAGTATTGATGGGAATAGGCACATATACCAAAGTAGATTTTTGTGACCTAATCTCTGCTCATACAAAGAAAGTTCACTCAAATCCAAGTAAACCTATCCATATTTGAGGCTTTTAAAGGTTGCATTGTCTTGAAAGTGCCTACACAGACCTAAAGACTAGTATCATGAGCTATATTAAAAGTATCAAAGCCATGTCTTTCTGTCATTATGGTGAATGAATAGAAAAATAGATGGAAATGGTTAGTCAGCATTAACTGAGTCACTGGCAGAGATACAGTCTGTGTTTTGTGGGTGATATACAGGGAGACTGGAGAAGCCCGACTCTCTCCATGATGAATAGGACAGGAAGGAAGGAAAAACAGCACGCACGCCCACATCTGGTTTCACTTTTTCTGCCTCTATCTGCCCTGCTCTCCGCTGTGATCCTGAGTGATCGGGACATTTATTGAGGAGAAAGCTTGAGAGGGCTTTAGAACAGTGATCAGTATATGGTAGTGGAGTTAGCACTTCATAATGACAGTACTGTGAGCCAGAGTTCTTGTCTGGAAAATGTAAAACTAGCAAGTTGAATGAACTCAAGTAGATAAATAACTGCCCCAAACTTGTTAATAAAGGTCAGATCATGTATTTTTATATAAACTTAAATATATTTATTAAAAAGTAGTGGTGGGGCTGGCGATAGGGCAAAATATGTGTGGGTGCTGTACAATTTTAATTCATAAAAAAATATTTTGCAACTCTTCCAGGTACCTCCACTTATTTGTGAGGTCTGCAAAACATTGTCATGGATTCAAGATGAAAATAATAATAATAAAAATAATGATGAAAATAATTAAAATTGATGTGTGTACTGAACTAACAACAACAAAGTAGACTACAAGGCCATTTTCAGATTTGTTTTTCTATAAACAAACAGCACCAAAAAAGGATCTTTAATTTTCAAAGAAATGTTAATGTGTAAACAGTGTTAACGCTCAGACCATTGGCTTAATGTTTAACTGTGATTTCATGTGTGTATCCAACATGAATAATTTAAAAGCCAGTACCAGTAAATTATTATTTTTTTCAATAATATCTTATCTCACTTTTTAAGATTGTCAAATCTAGAAGCCTGTGAAAAGTTTCCCTTATTACATATCGTAACTTGTGTAAACAGCGTAATAGGCCAACAGGAAGCAAAGGTTAAAGGGCCTATTTTCTGATTTATGTTATAATATTGTTACCTCCTTAAAAACATACCCAGAGTCATGTTTTGTTTCATTTACATATAACCCTGCATATTTAGAAAGAGTTTTTCTCTCCAGCAGGAAATACTCTGTTCCATCTTGTGATGACATGTTGTACTACATGAACTGCTCTACCGTGTTTTTAAACACCATACCCCTTCATTATAATCATTTGGATGATTTCAGTCCTGGAATTGCTGTTATCTCCTGAACTAAAGGTAAAAGGGATCTGTTAACTTGAAAACTACTGCTTCTTGACATCACAAGGTGGAACAGAGGATTTTGATGTTTTGGCGATGTAGACAGATTAATAATAATGGGTTCCTCAAATATATATGAAAAAAACAAAACACAACATGTATGTTTTTGCTGAGATAAGAGTATGACAACATGGCTTAAAGTTCACAAGAGCTAATTTTGTATAAGACAGGACCTTTAAGATAACCCTAGCTAACCCTAACCCACATGAACCTAACCAGATTCTATGGCTTCTGCTGAGAGAACACTGTTACGTGGGAGGGCGGAGAGACAAAACCACAGAGCTAATAATCATTTATCAAATTCAAACTAACCTGGAGGGAAAATCAGCTTTCCAGGACCACCCTAAACCCCCCAGGGCCAGCCAGGACCCCCTGTTTCACCAGGCACTGCCCTAACCTGTAAATCTTTGTGCCTCTCTTTCAGATGTGAGCCCCATAAAGGAGGGCTTGTTTACTTGCAGCCGTGCCTATCTCAGGTTTCACCCCTCAGGCACGGCTGCATGGCCCTGTCCCCGGAGGGAGGGGCTGTGACATAAAACAAACACACATATGGGGGGGGGTCAGAGCTTGGGACACCTTCTGTAACCTGACACCAACAGGCTGGACTCCAAATGCATTCCACAGAAAGAGCAGTGATGTGTGTGCATGTGTGTGTGTGTTCATGTATGCGTGTGTGTGTGTGTGTGTGTGTGCGTGCGTTTATGTGAGTGCGTGTGCGTGCTGGCATGAGTGAGTAAACAGGCCCAGGTCAACAGTCTGACCCCCACTCTGACCTCACCTGCTTTACTCATGCTTTATTAACGCTGTCTCGGCTGTAGTGGTAAATCTCCTATAGCAGCACGCTCAACACAACTCAAATGACAAGAATTAAGAATTATACTCAAGCTATTGGAAATTTGAGAGGCAGAGAGGGTCATTATTCAAGGTTCTGCTCAAAAGAAAAATCTACGCACATAATTCATAGGGAAACTATATGAAAATTTCTTGTTATGACACAGTATTTGCTTTATTTAAAATTGAAATGAGTAAACTGTTGAAGTATGAGTTTGAAAGAACAAGAATGCATACTGAGTTGTAAGTGAAAATACCACCCATAAATAAACATTCCTCTGATTCTGTATGGATATCAAGGCCATTAAGGTAATAATGTACTGGGTTTAAAGGTTATACAGTACAAAGAAAGACATTTAAGTGTATATTCTGGCAGGCTGATAAAAATACATGGTATGCCCTCTGCAATATATTTACACTGTCGAAGAGGGTTCATCTGAAAATTTGAGGATTGTGAAATTAGTTCTAAAATATTCTAGGATTTCATGTTAGAAATATAGTGTTATACATTCTTGTCAAATGGAGCTCAACAGTGACAGCCCACTCCAGTTTCAGAAGTAAATTTTCCATTCATTTTTCCCAAAGACTAACTAGTGCCTGCTTGTCTCCATGGAGATGCTATTGCTCTTCCTGGAATGTTCCATGGTATGACATTAAACTTTTCTATCTAGCATTTATTCATTACTGGAGTTTTTATTGTTTAAAAATACGTGAATTTCTTCTGTGAATAGGTGCGACTCTCCACAGATCTGACTTGTAATGTTGTGTAGCTGCTTGTCTTCCTCTTCATAAAAGTGTTTAATCTGTACTGTGGAACATTCTTGACCAAAACAATAAAATTTCCATGGAGACCAGCAGGACTTAAATGTTACACAGTGCATCTTTAAGTCGAAAAAGTACTTTTAAATGTCAAGATGTGGTGAAATGCTTTAATAACTTGGCAATTTATAACATTTCAGAAACAAATTTTTAATAAAAGTATAGGTCTTTAGTTTAGCCATTAGTTATCACATAGCTGTTTTTTGTTCTGTTTTTATTCAGAAAGTCTATGAGAAAAATGAATTGGAACTGGGGTGGGCAGTCACTGTTGAGCTCCATTGTCAAATCTGGAACTGTTAGCATAGTGAAACTAGTAAAACCTGGTATAATGTGTTATTTCTTAATTTTATAATACAAAGAAATAGAAAACTGTCAAACAAAATCAGTATTCACTTTAAATCAGTTTGTGCTTGGTGCTGACATGAGAAAGCATCTGTGTAACTAGTTAGAAGCTCTACCTCTGGATCTTTAATCTTCGTACAAATATGTTTAAAAGCTCTGTCATCAATAATAAGAAGAGTGTGAGCGTGTGGGTTTGGGGTGTGGCTGTATGACTGTGGTCTATGGTGACATGTGTTTTCTGTCAAATCTGGTATGAAGCTGAAATAGTGACATTGATGTAGAGTCTCCCCAGAGCGGACACTGACAGTCTGAAAAGTAAAAACATGCAATACAGCAAACCAATGTGCTGAGTTTTGTCACATAAATCTGCTTCTAATAGTGCACATTTTTCTGAAGGAATTTAAAGAATTTGCCTCTGCAGCATTTCAACAAGTCAATGTGATTCAGTTCAAAGTAACATCACTCTTGGTTTCAAAATGATGTTTGTATTTATAGTTTTAAAGAGGCTGATAGCTTCTGTTATGTTTCTAAAGTAATTATGAACTGTAAACACGTAAAACTCCACAAATTGTTTGTTATTTTCCTAAAAGGTGCACTGTGCAATTTGGCTGGAGTTTCTTTCCATGGAGATGTTGCCTGGTATGTTCCACCACATGGCATTACATTTATTTATCTCTACAACAGGGGACACAATAGGGAAAGGTTAGATGTCGGATCTGTGGAGAGGGGAGCCCACTCACAGTAAGAACGCAAGTCAATACAAACTCATGTTATTGAGTAGATATGTGTAATGATTGATGTTTATTACCGTACTGTAACATTCCCGACAAAGCAATAACGTCTCCATGAAGACAAGCAGATGGCAGATCCTCAACCAGA